TGGCCAGGACTTCTATTACCTTGTTGAATAATGATGAGAACAGATATTTTTGCTTTGTGTCTGATCCTATGTAGAAAGCAATAACCATAAAACTGGTAGATGTAGAGAAGTTACTACCTATTGCTCGTTTGCTGAAAGTTTTCATCACAAATGGATGTTGAATTTTGCTAAATGCATTCTTGGTATCTACAGAGATGATACATGAGTCTTTCCCTTCATTATTTTAATATGGTGAATTACATGTAGTGATAATCAGATGTTTAAATAAAAACTTGAATTCCTGAAATAATCTCCAGAAATTAATCAGGACATATTTCATTTTTCATGTATTGTTGGATTCAGTACACTAATTTTTAAAAGAACTTTTACATCTATAGTCATCAGGGTATTTACTGGCTTATAACTTTACTTATGATGTCTTCATCTGGTTTCGGTTTAGGGTATTACTGATCCAATATGATGAGTTGGAAAATGTTCATCCTCCTCTACTTTCTGAAAGTTTCTGTAGGGTTAGCATTGTTTATTCCTTAAATATTGATGGAATTTATCAGTGAAGCCATCTAGATCTTGAGTTTTCTTTCAGGGAAGATTTTAAATAACACATTTAATTTCTTTTATTATTATAGGATTATTTAAGTATTCTGTTTCTTCTTTACTCAGCTTTGGTAACATGTATTTCAAGGAAATCTTCCATTTCATCTAAGTCATCAAATTTTTGAAACAAGTTATAAGTAACTTACTTATTATCTGTTGATTCTAGGATAGTGGTGTCATCTCCTTTATTTCCTATTCATAATTTTGGCCTCTTTTTCTTTTTTTTTTAAACAAATTTATTTATTTATTTTTGGGCCACGTTGGGTTTTCATTGCAGGGCGCAGGCTTTCTCTAGTTGCGGCAAGTGGGGGCTACTCTTCATTGCAGTGCATGGGCTTCTCATTGTGGTGGCTTCTTTTGTTGCAGAGCATGGGCTCTAGGCACACAGACTTCAGTAGCTGTGGCACACAGGCTCAGTAGTTGTGGCGCATGGGCTTTGTTGCTCCGTGGCATGTGGGACCTTCCCGGACCACGGCTTGAATCTGTGTTCTTTGCGTTGGCAGGCAGATTCTTAACCACTGTGCCATCAGGGAAGTCCTGGCCTTCTCTTTTTCTTGATCAGTTTATCCAAAGATTTATCAATTACATTGATCATTTCAATGAACCACCTTTTGTTTTTATTGACTTTTTTCTACTGTTAGTGTAGGTTCCAGTTCAGGAATTGGTAAACAGTTTCTGTAAAGGGCCAGATAGTAGATATTTTAGGTTTTATGGGCCATATATGGCATCTGTTTTGTACTCTGTTTTATAGTTATTTGTTTTACAACCCACTAAAAATTAAAAATGATTCTAAGTTCAAGGGTTATATGAAAATATAAATGGTTATATAGCTAAATTTGGCCTATAATCTGACCCCAGTTCTAGTTCATTGATTTGTGCTCTTACATTTATTACTTTATTCTCCTACTTATTTGAGTTTCATTTGCTCATATCTAACTTCATAAGGTGGAAGCTTAGATAATTAATTTTAGTCATCTCTTCTTTTCTAATAAAACACTTAAAAGCTATAAATTTCTCTTTAAGCTCTGCTCTAGCAGCATCCCCAATACTTTGATAGATTTCAGTATTATCTAAATATTTTCTAATTTCTCTTGTGACTCACCCCTACCTACGCTACCAAATAGAAAAGGGGCTTTGAAATTCCATTTTCTTCACCTTCCCAGAAAAAAAAAAAAATCCATGGTTTGACTCCTGTCCATCTTACCTCTCACACACTTGTATAATGCCCCTTTGATCTGTTATGCCCCTAAGAATGTCTGAAATAGGGTAGATTCATCTGTGAAGTATTCACCTGTGATTAGAACTTGAAGTTGAAATAAACATAATACCTAAGCATTTGAGTGACCATCAGCATATAAAAGTTTAAATACACATGAGTATCTCAATGAATGGCATTCATGATTAACATTTTAATCATTTAATTTGCAAACCATTTAAAACCATATTATTATTAGGGTAGTTTCCATTTTTAACTCTGCCTGAAAACTTTGAAATATCTAAGAATTTATGTATATTGTAATGTTTCCGAGTCCTTGGGTATGAGTCATGGTTTCTTGTATAATCTCTCAAGTTCCAGTTGTTTAAAACAAGATAGTATCTGACTCATAGTGCCTAATAAATATCTATTAGTAATAGTAATACTAATGAAGTAGAAAGGAAGCAGTATGAAGTATCCTTTTAAAGAGAACAAAAGAAACTAGGGTCAGACATCAAAAATATTAGAAGGCAAGTAAAAAAGTAAAGGAATTTCAGGCCTGTTCAATGTTCATGGCAATACCAGCTACAGGTAGGAAACCATGAAGTAGAAGGCCAAAATGTGAAAATACAGATATTGTATCTTCTAAGGATCTGAGACTTGAAATGACTATAGAAAGGGTATGAGCTTTTTCCTTGCTGAAGTCAGGCACAGAATTAATGGGTTGATAGTGGGGAGGGATAAGGAAGGGCTAGAAAGACAATGAATTCTAATGACTAAGACTCTGAAAATGTTACTTGGTTTCATATGAGGCCTAACAGGTAAGCTGGACCTGAAGGAAATTCTAAAAGATAGGTACTCCATAAATTACTGGTGACTGAACAACTTGCATTATTAAATAGGTTCCAAGATGACAACACTGAAGGGCAAGACACACATGGATATTTTAGTTGCTGATATGTTTGTTTAGAAAATTAATTGCATACATTTATATCCAAGATCTTCAAAAATGACTAATAAAAAAATTGCATGACTGCAATTTACTTCTTTTAGTTTAAAATCATTATTTGAAAGCTTAAATATTTTATAATTTAAATTAATAATGATGGTTGTTATTCACTAATTTTAATTTTAAAGCATGATTTTTCCTTTAAAAATCTAAGAAAGAAGTATTTGATATAAAAAAATTTAGGGGGCTTCCCTGGTGGCACAGTGGTTGAGAATCTGCCTGCTAATGCAGGGGACACGGGTTCAAGCCCTGGGCTGGGAGAATCCCACATGCCGCAGAGCAACTAGGTCCATGAGCCACAACTGCTGAGCCTGCGCGTCTGGAGCCTGTGCTCCGCAACAAGAGAGGCTGCAATAATGAGAGGCCCGCGCACTGTGATGAAGAATGGCCCTCACTCGCCGCAACTAGAGAAAGCTCTCGCACAGAAACAAAGACCCAACACAGCAAAAATAAAATAAATAAATTAACTCCTATTCCCAACATCTTCCTTAAAAAAAAAAAATTTAGGATCAAGTTCAATGTGGTATATCAGCTGCATATATCAGCTTCACCTTCATTCAAGAAAAGTTTTAAAAGGTTTTTAGATATCAATCCCTCTTTTCATAATATTACTTGACAATGAATACTTATATAAGGTTATGTTATTGTGTTTCTAAAAGGAAAGCATGCCTTGGATAATGACTGGATTTGAAGAAAAGTTATTTGTGATAATAAAATGACAACTCAACAAAACAAAGAATTTTTTTTCAAATGAAGTAGAAAATAATAGTAAAATTTCTAATGTTTAGGCTGGTCGTGAGGAAATTTACACGGCAGCAAAACAGATATCCCTGAACAAATATCTCAAAAAATATATAATATCTTCCGACAGCTCTTACATATAAGAACGTGGAATCGAATAATCCCTTTAAAATGCATGTTTCTTGTTAATTAAGTCAACATAATGGAGGGACAGGATATAGGTACCCAGTCCATGGCCTGTTAGGAATGGGGGCCTCACAGCAGGAGGTGAGGGGCGGGGGAGTGAGTGAAACTTCATCTGTATTTACAGCTTCACTCCATCACTTGCATTACTGCCTGAACTCCGCCTCCTGTCAGATCAGCAGCGGCATTAGATTCTCATAGGAGCGCCAACCCTACTGTGAACTGTGCATGCAAGGAATCGAGGTTGCATTCTCCTTATGAGAACCTAATGCCTGATGATCTGAGGTGGAGCTGAGGTGGTGATGTTAGCACTGGGGAGCAGCTGCAAATACAGATTATCATTAGCAGAGAGGTTTCACTGCACACAGACCATAATAAATCCATTGCTTGTAGACTCATATCAAAACCCTATCAGTGAGTGGCAAGTGAAAACAAGCTCAGGACTCCCACTGATTCTGCATTCTGGTGAGTTCTATAATTATTTCATTATATATTACAATGTAACAATAATAGAAATAAAGTGCACAATAAATGTAATGTGGTTGAATCATCCTGAAACCATCCCCCTGCCCCAGGTCCATGGAAAAATTGTCTTCCACGAAACTGGCCAAAAAAGTTGGGGACCCCTGTTTTAGTGTGAAAAAGCAAGGCAGGTGTAAATATCCATATTCACTTCCAACCAACAGATAATTTGGGTTTAAATGCCATTCTTAGATCACTTGCAGAATGATTACATATCGTTGTCACTTTATTGTCATGATAAATCAATTTACGTACTCATTTAAAAAAATGTATACTTCACAGTGAACAAGTCAATCATGTGTAATTGAGATTTTTCTAGTACACTTAAAAAAACTTTTAGATCTCAACCAAGATGTTCAATATATATGTTGTTTTTGGGAAACATGATTTTTCAAAGATCTTCTTAGTATGAATTTCTGATGCTTAATAGTTCTGGAACTATTGTTGAAGCTTCCCGTAAGCTTCTAAACTAAACTTCTAAGCTTCTAAACTAAACTAAACTATAAATGTTTAGTACATTTATAGAGTTTCTAACCTATATGAATTCTATGAAGTGTAATGAAATTTTGATCACTGAATTAAAGTTTTCTCACTCCATTAAAAGTGTTTCTGTTCAATATGAATTCTCTGATGAACAATGAGAGTAGATTTCTTGCTGAAAGCTTTTCTACAATGACTGCATTCATAGGTTTTTCTCTAGTATGTATTCTATGATGTACAGTAAGGTGTGATTTCTTGCTAAAGGCTTTTCCACACTCAGTGCATTCATATGGTTTTGTCCCAGTATGGATTCTCTGATGCATAATGAGTTGTGATTTCTGGATAAAAGCTTTTCTGCATTCACTACATTCATAGGGTTTCTCCCCAGTATGAATTCTCTGATGTTCAACGAACTGTGAACTCCAGATGAAGGTTTTCCCACATTCATTGCATTGGTATCTTTTGTCCCCAGTGTGAGTTCTCTGATGTACAATGAGATCTGACTTCTGAATGAAGGCTTTTTTACATTCATTACATTCAAAGGGTTTCTCCCCAGTATGAATTCTGTGATGCACACTTAGTTCTGACTTCCTGTTGAAGGCTTTTCCACACTCATTACATCTATGGGGTTTCTCCCCAGTATGAATTCTCTGATGTACAATGAGCTGTGACCACCAGATAAAGGCTTTTCCACATTCATCACATTCATATGGTTTCTCTCCCGTATGAGCTGTTTGACGAACACTAAGTGTTGACTTCTTGATGAAAGCCTTCCCACATTCATTGCATTCATAGGGTTTCTCCCCTGTGTGAATCCTCTGATGAATAAAGAGGTTTGACTTCTGGATGAATGCTTTTCCACATTCACTACATTCATAGGGTTTCTCTCCTGTATGAGTTCTCTGATGTACAGTGAGCTGTGACTTCTGAATAAAGGCGTTTTCAGTCATTACATTTGTACGGTTTTTCCCCAGTATGAATTCTCTGATGTACAGTAAGTCCTGACTTTCCACTGAAGGCTTTCCCACACTGAATACATTTATATTTTTCACTTGTTAGAAATTTTGGTTGTGCAGAGAGGTAAGACTTATGTATGAAGGCTCTGATGTGTTCATTAGATGTTCTGTTCAGATGAACTACTTTCCACAGTGTGTTATATTCTTGGTCTATCTCCTCAGTCAGTGACTTATTGTTAATAAATGTAACTTGATTCAAAAGTTTGTCTTGGTTTTCCAGGTAATTTATCTCATCTTCAAGTTTCCAGTCTTCAAAAATTGAGTATACTATCATGTTATGGTGTATTACTTCTTCAGAAATGCTCTTCTGTGGAGCTAATTTTTTCATTTTGGGTCTAATTTCAAACTCTAAGAGAAAACTCAAGTGTAAATAATGTTATTTCTCTCTCGAGCTTTGAAAAACACAAAACACACACACAAAACATAAAGGTCTTCATTTTAATGGAAATAGACAAAAATCTGATAATGAGTATGTTCAGCTTTGAAATTTAAGAATATGATACTAAAACCCAAAGACAGAAGAAGGAACAGACATAAAAAGAAGTGAGCAGGAGAGCAATGGAAAAAGCAGAGTTGATGAGCTCAGTGTCATGGTCCCACACAGCCCCACACACTTCTGCCCCATCTCCACTCCATCACAAGGCTCTGTGAGGAACGAAGGCAGACCAAAAAATAACTTCAGGAAGACAGAGGAAGCATGCTAGCAAAGGGGACAGAGAGTGAGTTGATGTGACTAACAGAAAGATTAAACTCACAGTAAATATGAAAATGTTTTTATATGTGGGCTTCCCTGGTGGTGCAGTGGTTGAGAGTCCACCTGCCAATGCAGGGGACACGGGTTCATGCCCCAGTCCGGGAAGATCCCACATGCCGCAGAGCAGCTAGGCCCGTGAGCCATGGCCGCTGAGCCTGCGCGTCTGGAGCCTGTGCTCCGCAACGGGAGAGGCCA